ACGTTGTGACAATCTTATATATACCAGACTACCCCCCAATCTAGTAAATGCTAGGGCATTCACGAAGGAACAGGATATTTCTAGAAAACGTAGCGTGACACTAGTCACGTGACCTCGCTGACGCAACAGCTTCTTCTTTACTCGACTAACCATTTGGATATCGCTCTCAAGTTTTACTGAACGAAAACCGCCTACAATACTTACTTTTAAGAATATTTCATTAATTAACTTCCATGTCATGTGATCATAATATTTAGCGTATGTCATATTGTATTTCATAAATAGCTACTGTTACCGTTCTTACCAAAATATGGCGCCAATGATATTCTAACGTTCACTAATGTTTTCACCGCCGCTACGTACATTGTGCTGCCATCTTGTTTTAAGTTTCGTTTAAAGTTATATATAAATATTGTCGGGTCATATAATGTTTCAAAAGTTTGTTAGAATGTAGTTTAACGACGTTTTTTAGGAAATCATTTTACTGAACTTTAAGAAATTGTTCAGAATGTTAAATTTTATATCGTTCTTAAACGTTCTGCATATTGACATATTTCGGTGAAAATAAAGTGAATTGAATAAATATGATTTCGTTATTTTGACTTTCAAACACTATTTTCTTCAGTGTTGTTATTTAGAATTTGCGGGTGAGCAGTGTTAAGCAAAAGATTATCTGCATATAGCCGTCCCTAATGTTCATATCCTAAGACTAACGGGAGTTTTGTTGTTAGGCACAAAGTTGCACAACGGATTTCATGTGCTTTACCCTCTGCAAGTATCGAAACATGATTTTTAGCGTCATAAACCCTCAGGCTTACCACTTGTGGGCAACTTGAGAGAAGCCCGCTGGTCAACAACACCCATCGCCAGCTTTTGTCGAACCAAATTATGAAATTTGACCTTCATTCCTTTAGCGCAAACACAGCCTCAAACTACTGAGCGAGTTTTTGTGGCAACAGGACGCGAACCATGAACCCTCAGATTCATAGCCAAGCACTGTGCTGTGAGCCACTTTGACATTCCAATCAGAAGACCAGGAATGCTAATGGCTTGAATCCTCAAGAGGTGGAACGCCTTTCCGGACCGTTTCTCTCCAATTTAATACCAGGTAGTAGTTTCTAAAGTCAAGATGTCAGTAATGGTTAAGAAACACCGACTAAAAGTAAGTCAACTGTTATTTCGAAGATTTTAACAGAACTAATTGTAATTTTTTTTTCCTTAAAATTGACTTAGAAAATAAAATTTACCAGATATTTCCAAATGCATTTTATGGTTTCATTTTAACCCTTAAATTACCGAAGGGACAGCTTTTTAACACATTTTTCCACACTCTGGGCACCAACTTGCTCGTGCTTCTCATAGTAATATATGAGTCACGCAAATAAATAAATAAAAAGCAAATATTACAGCTAATCCAACGGGTCCCCAATGGCTCGGCGGTGAGTCTGAGGGCTTATAACGCCAAAAATGTAGTTTCGATACCCATGGTGGGTATTGTTCATTGTGTAGCTTAGTGCTTAACAACAAACAAACAAAATTATCCAACTCGATACTGCTGGTGTCCCATGTGTATTTGACATAAAAAATACGTGATTTCGCCGAATTTTGTTGGTCAGTTCAGTATAAACACAGTGGCAGAACTTTGGTTTCAAAAGTTGGGAAGAGTTTCTGTACTTAAGGTATGTATGAGGATATTGTATCAAAAAACATATTCTATCCTTGAAGACCCGTGAAAGTTGTGCCTATGTATACATACGCAGAATGTTAACTAACAGAATATACATACAATTATTCAATGTGCTGAAGCATATGAATCCTACCGGTGGCGATCGGTATGAAAAATAAGTCGGTAACTTGAAGGATAAGTAAGGTTATTTAGCTGTGATTTGATTTAGCGCTTTGCTCACGAAAAAAAAGTTCCTTTTGGAAACTGTTACTTGATAAAAGTTGTATACGGTATAACTTCACAAAAGAAGATTGACAAGGAAGTTTCGCTTAAAACTCCCTGATGAGTAGAATTATCTGGAACTTCATCCCTGATGAGTAGAATTATCTGGAACTTCATCCCTGATGAGTAGAATTAGCTGGAACTTCATCCCCGATGAGTAGAATTATCTGGAACTTCATCCCTGATGAGTAGAATTTTCTGGAGCCTCATCTCGGATGGGTAGAATTTTCTGGAGCCTCATCTCCGATGGGTAGAATTATCCGGAACTTCATCCCTGATGGGTAGAATTTTCTGGAGCCTCATCTCGGATGGGTAGAATTTTCTGGAGTTTGATTTTCCTTGGGAAATTCGTGTCGTCACACCTTTTAAATATGAGGTAACGCTAATTTGAATGATCATTTATGTTATCCAAGCGTCTCGAACAGTGAGGAACTGTAAAGCTGTTGTACTTTGTAAAGACTAACTAGTAAATTACATGCCAGATTCGAAAGCTCTTAGACTAGTAGTAACATATTTAATTATTAAACTTTTACATTGATTATGAATATTGTAACGAAAACACATTAGGTTAGTGATTCTCCAAGTGTGGTCCAAGATGCATTAGGTCAGTGATTCTCCAAGATGGCTGGTCCAAGATGCATTAGGTCAGTGATTCTCCAAGATGCATTAGGTCAGTGATTCTCCAAGTGTGGTCCAAGATGGCTGGTCTAAGATGCATTAGATCAGTGATTCTCCAAGTGTGGTCCGCAGGCTGGTCCAAGATGCATTAGGTCAGTGATTCTCCAAGATGGCTGGTCCAAGATGCAAGTCACATCAAAAGCAGCACCATTCTTCCCTTTAATTATGATGATTTTTATTTATTTATTTTTTGCGGTGGCAAGCGAAAGCGGGTGGGGTAGATGGTTCGCGAGGTCTCTTGCCCCACCCAAGCGATTTGCAGACGAACCACTGCCTTAAGTTACATAATTTCTACCGCAACATCAGCCAAAGTCTGTGTATTAGAGTGATTAATGGTTCTTCCAACAGCTGGTGCCCCGTCACACCAAACATGCTCGCCCCTTTTAGCCGTGGGGGCGTTATAATGTGACGGTCAATCCCACTACTCGTTGGTGAGAGAGTAGCGCAAGAGTTGGCGGTGGGTGGTGATGATTAGATGCCTTCCCTCTAGTCTTACACTGCTAAATAAGGGACAGCTAGCGCAGATAGCTCTCGTGTAGCTTTGCGCGAAATCCAAAACAAACCAACAGCTGGTGATAAGTGTATTATATATTCAATTTCCTGTGTGGATAATTATCATACGTAATAATTATTAATTGAATAGGTTCTTTCTCTTCTTTTCGAAGTAAAAATCCAGAACTCGCAGTTAGGAAGTCTGTTTAGTGTTGCGGAAAATTGACGTAGTGCAGAGGTTTTTGTCTTAAAACTACTCGTTCATTCATCAACTACAGAAATAATCATTTCTAATTTTTGCTCTTTGGTAGTTCTATATATTTATAGGATTTAGATAATAGTTAAATGCATACAAATTTTATTTGTTAGCTGAATTTTGTTAGAGTTGTTCTTTGTTATTAAGCACTAAGCTACACACTTTTCTTGTGATGGAGATTGTAAAGCCATACCATGACACTTCACTGGCACCCTGTCTTATTAGCGTTATCATAATAGCATTTTATCACTAACTGATTTACCAGGTAAAGTTATGTATGACCTTAGTGGTGTTCCCTAGTCCCTCTGTATATTCACTTTAAGACTACGCTGAGTGACTATCCACCAGAAGCGAACACAAAAGGTCCAAGAAACATAATAAGTTTTCTTCCAATCATCAAGTAGCTTCATGTACTGCTGTTCACTACTCGTAAATTGCAACTGAAGATCTTGAATCCACGTAAATTGTTAACTGATTCAAACACGTGCCATTGGAAGAGAGATTAATAATTGTTATCCTGGCCTTTTTGAGTCTAATAATCTGATACATTTCTGAAGCCCCCCCCCCCCCCAGTAGTATGTCTGCAAATTTACAACGCTAGAAACCGGATTTCGATGCCCGTGTTGGGCAGAGCTTTAACTTCAAACAACAACATTTCTGAAAACAAGGTTGATTCAAAGTTATGTTCTTGATCTGAGTGAAGTTCCATAGACACCCTAAATCTTGAAACATATTCACTGACGAGTTTCTGCTTCATGGTTAAGAAAATTGTATGCTTCTGGCAACTGGGTGAAATAGTCCATCACAACATTGATGTATTTATTATCAACCACATAAACAGCAATTTTCTCAAGTTATGCTCCAACACAATACCGCTGTAGCTGTTTCTTTCAATGACCTTTGTTCTCACACCATGGTTCACACAAGTTACACCAATTCTCTGCAGATCCCCAGCACCCAACACAATACAATCGTTCCTAGCGTCTTCTTAACACCTAAATATCCAGCCATTGATGATGAAGTGCTTCAGAATATAGAGACTGGGGAAGTACAAAGTGTAGTCGTTGGTTTCCTTTGGTACTTTACCATTTCCGTTATAACAAGCTTTCTTGCAGTCATGACGAATCCCAGTACATCTTTATCTTTGGAGTGATTATTTGCTGTGAGAGCTTTTCTACACTATTCTTCATCTACTTTTGTCTGAACATCTTTCAGTTGTGTTGTAGAGCTCATTTCATTGTCACTTGTGGATATCCAACTTTAAATTGCTGCTGTCCCTCTAGTCTTACACTACTAAATTAGAGACGGCTAGCGCAGATAGCCCTCGTGTAGCTTTGCGCGAAATTCAAAACAAACAGACATAGAAAATGGTTAAAAAAACGATTATAATAGAAGTATAGTCCGATAAATCATTTTATCTCATGCATGTTCCTTGGTGCTGGACAATTCTGTACAGATTCAATCGGAGATGGGTCTCTAGACATGAATTTATTGACTATGTGTGTCAGGAAACTTACCTGTTGACAGAACAATTCACACTTCTTGGGATTCAACTTAAGATTCTCTTTCTTTAACTAATCATCCAGAACTTTCCTGAGCCCATCATAAGCATTATCAAATGTATTTCCGTGTGTTATTATGTCATCCAAGTAAATGAATGCGACATTCGAGGGTAGTTCAGAGACAGCACATTCAATTAGTTATTGAAATGTAGTAGGTGTATTACATAATCCAAATGGTAACACAACAAATTGCCATGATCCATTTCCTGCAGTAAAGGTTTCCTAAATTTCTTGGTCGACTTGCACTTGCTAATATCCACTCTTCAGATCCAGAGTTGAAAACCATTTTGATCAAGATAAAATATCCAAAGTAGAGCCAATCCTTAGCAGTGAGTACCCATCCTTCTTTGTGAGTTCATTCAACTTTTGATAGTTTGTATAGGACTTCTTGGGTCCATACTTCTTCAGTAATACAATAGCTGATGCCAATGGATTTGTACTTGGTTGTGAGTTCATTCAACTTTTGATAGTTCGTACAGGATTTCTTGGGTCCATACTTCTTCAGTAATACAATAGCTGATGCCAATGGATTAGTACTTGGTTGTGAGTTCATTCAACTTTTGATAGTTCGTATAGGACTTCTTGGGTCCATACTTCTTCAGTAATACAATAGCTGATGCCAATGGATTAGTACTTGGTTGTGAGTTCTATTCAACTTTTGATAGTTCGTATAGGACTTCTTGGGTCCATACTTCTTCAGTAATACAATAGCTGATGCCAATGGATTAGTACTTGGTTCTATTAGTTTTTCTTTTTTCTGACTTTTATCTCTCTTTGAAAACCTCAGCCTGTTGTGCAAATGGGAGTAATCTGAATAACTGATGTATTGGGGCTGCATCTCCAGTATCAATCTGATTAGGTATTTGTTTAGCCTAAGTCATAAGGTGCAATGGAGAAGTAACCTTGATATTCCATGAGAAAGTCACGTATTCTATGGCATTGACCAGCTGTAAGACTTCCACAGTTCTGTTTACAGAGCTCTTGTAAATGATGTGGTAAACAGTCCTTATGTAAGAACTTGATATCAGCTTTCCTAAATCTACTGTAAATGATGTGGTAAACAGTCCTTATGTAAGAACTTGATATCAGCTTTCCTAAATCTACTTGTACAACTTCACATCTTGCAGTTTCCCATCCAGACTTTACTCGAATTTTATGGTTTGTTATGTTCATGGTTGTAATGATAACATTCTTATTTTCCAATTCCACCAGAACTCTTTCAACCATTAATCCCTCAGGACACAGTATGTTTGGTTCTATTATTCCCCAGTCATTATATATACATTTATTCGTAACAAGTTCTGGTATGAGAACCTCACTTCTTGGCGGCATAATACCTGTCCTCCTTGTTGTCACTGGATGTTCAACCTCTGGTATAGTAATTGCCATGTAGTACACGATATTTCCTGTTCATATTTGAAGCTAGCCTAACACTGTATCTATGTCTCCACATGAAGTCAGTTCTCAATATACACTCTTCCTTAATGTGAATTACTCGCACATCATAATGTGTAGGGAACCTTCCAACACAGTAAGAGTACCTTCCAATTTTCCTCTTGCTGGAAATTTATGTCCACTTGCTGTTCTCATCATCCTATCTTATTTCTTCGTGACTTGAAGCAGTTTCCCACCTTACATTACTAAATTGAGCCAAACAAGTATGGCTGTAGAACCAGCATTGATCAACATACTGCAAGGCTTCCCATCAATCAATCCAAATACTTGTGGACTGGCTTCTTTAAATAACGAACTTTTATCTTATTTAGGGCAGCTGGGGTATTATTAACTGAACTTCGCCCCATAAGTCCAGTTAATTCCTATTTTATAATATTTGGTTATCTTTTTGTTGTATTTTTTAGATTTGGTTGAGCTCAAAGACTCATCCTAAGGGTATTGTCTTCATGATGTATTAACAACTGTTGATTCCTCATAGTGTTGGCGGTAATGGCCATGCTTTACACATGCATAACAATTTCCCTTTTCTTATAACCTTTGGGAAGGAGTTTTATTCTATACAAAATTTTATCTGTAGTTCCTGGCAATATGTCCTTTCAAGTTACACTTAAAACGCACATTGTCTCGTCATTTATTTCCTCCATTCTGTATAACTAGTTGTCCAAATAATCCTTTTAGTTCTTCTAGACTATCGTCAAGGGTGAGTTGATGTTTCAGTACTACTTCATGTGATGATCCTGTAACTTTGAGATAGTGTTTTCAGTTGTTTATCTAAGACTTTAACAGGTTCAAGTTCTATTGTCAATTAGAGAGCTTCTTCTAGAGATGCACTAATACTTTGCTTTAGCTAAATTTTCATATCATTCTCTGTTATGGTGTCTGTAAATTGGTCACGTACCAACAAATCCACCAGTTAACTTGGAGCATCTGGGTAAAATAATTGGGTAAGCCATTCCAAATATTTTGAAGTTCGGCTAAGGCTTCTTTTCTACTCGGTACTCTGCTCTGGAATTTTGCTTTGAATACTTTTTCTGGTGTGTCACTCTGAAGCTGTTGGATAAGGCAACCATAAATGATTGATATCTGTTATGGATCTCAGTTGAAAGGTTGTGTAGTATATTCATTAAAGGTGGTCCTTTTAAATGGGTAGCAAGACGAGTAGTTTATTGTTTACTATTCCACCTGTTCACATTGGAAATTATTTGTCAAACTGAGCATGATATGCCTCCCATGGTACCACTCCACTATGGTCCACTAGTTTCTCAATTGGGCAATGTTGGGAACAGGAAAGCTAAATTCTGAAACTAAATTTGGTGGTGCCGTCAGTACAATACTTATTATATCTAGTACATTCTTAAGTCGACTTTCAGAGAATTATACAATAAGAAAGAAATTTTCCTAAGTAGCTTCAATCACATCTTTTATCATACACTTGTATTAAAAAGAATAATGAGACTGGACACAAAATGAAACGTAAAATGAACAATCTTTATTACGACGCTAAACACAAAGACACTGTGTGTACTTTTTGGTATGACGTACTATCACTTTTACTGGATTCTTCTCCTACAAGATCCTCCTCTAGACTGTCTAAATGTTTCTACGCTTCCAAGAAACGTCGCATTTACTAAGATCAATTTGTGCTACACATGTGACTGAACATTCTCATTACAATATAGGTGATGCAGTAACCACATGGTATTCAGGTATATTATGTGTTTCCTACCCGATTTTAGTAACATAGGAATTTTTAAAAATTTCGTTTCTTTGCAGTTTTAACATAAACATATGATTCGGAAAACTGTTGAAGTTGCCGTTTTTTAGCTGTTCTCTGTACCAGGTGATATATATATTCTGCATGAGGGGATGCTGTGATATATTTTGCTTAAGGATTAGAAATATTATAAACTGCAATATTCTTTGCTGGCCTAGTAGAAGATATATGTATGTTACAGGCAGTTAATGCTGTGAGAGAACAACAGTTACGTGGTGTCACACTCGCAGTAGAAGGAGTGAAAGGTTAAAATCTAGACAAGTATCAGTTCTATTTGCTTTCCGATTATCACTAATTCACCAGAGAGTCATCCTGAGAGGCAGAAAGTTGACAATATGTTCAATAATCGTGTAGAAACGAGTGTCTGCAAAAGTACACACGCTGCATTTTGTTTCTGTTTTATAATAAAGATTGTGTTTGTTTACCCAAAAGTTGTCCAGTCTCATTTTTTTTTCACATGTTAGAAAATTTAGTCAAGTTTTAAAATGCAGATTACTCCAGAAATTTCCTCGTATATTTTTGCACAAGTATCTATCTGACACTTGTGCAGAAATCAGTTTTACCTGAAAATACCACAACCTCAAGATATAACGTGGAAGACCATTGAAGTACATTTGCACAACATACAGTTCTGCAACAACATCCGCAGCAGATCAGGTATTATCCACTCAAGAACAAAGGCAAATAGAACGAAATGAACTTAGCGGCTTTCTCGGCCACTTTACGTCAAACTTTCATATATGCAGAACAAAGAATAAATAGTATAATATTGCAAGAAGAAAGAATCGCACAGTATATTCATATATCACTCATGCACAAAATCTACACTTTCAGGAAAACGATAGAAGTTTCTAGTGTCTTACTAATTGCCGAGGATGATTATAAAGTATGAAAACATATTAAAGATTATTAACATTTTATTTTAAACATGAAATTTTCCTTCTATACAAGAGAAAGCACAAATAAGTAAATAATAACATAAAAATAAATAAATAAATAAAAGAATCGGGTGTCGTTGTGTGACCTCAGCTAATGGCGCGTTGTTCGTTCTAAGGATGTCAGTGTAAAAAACAAACAAAAGGACATGTAATTAGTTATTTTCAAAAAATTGTCTGTGAATTTAAAATCTTTCTAAAATCTATTACAAGCTGTTTATTTTTGATCAGAAAATTCGCATTTTCGATTTTAAAAACATAATTTCGTAAAGTAAGTACAAAGTTCCACTACTGCTAATACTAATATTAATAGTAGGCCTCATAATAATAGTACTGTAGCCTCATTGTATTTGTACATTAATAAACCATAGAATGTAAAATAAGAAGCGTAATATGGTCCAATTTTCACTGTCAGAACGCGGTACTTACTAATAGTAATACTAGTTCTGCATTATTAATATTGTAATTGTTATGTAACTTAGAAGTTAGAGCTAAAATATTTAATTGCAGCTATGATTTATGCTGCCATTGCATCATTTTGTAATTTTAAATTGTGATAAATTAGATGTTGAGTATTTTACAATAACTTGAATAAGTACAGTTAAATATTATAAGGGTAAAATAATTATTTTATAATATTTTTTATAATTAATATTCACTTACATTACAGAAGTAGGTGACAGTATGATTTGGCACATTGAAGCCACCCAACAAAGAAATCAGCCCAATAAGTAAAACATCCCACAAAATGTAAAGAAATTTAAACAACCAACATGTAACAAAAATATGACAAATCATTTCATGAGTTAACAAACAATAGGGAAAATCTCTTAACCAGAAACATATTACAGTTTACACAATCATGAATGTGAGGTAAAAAGTTTAAATTTAACACAGTGATTTTCTTCAAAAAAATAACATTAATTTTATAAAAAAAAGTAAAAGAAATGACAGATCTTGCCAAATAGAAACTAGGATGGTAATCTCCAATTTTGAATAGAACAGAACATTTCTTGAGCTTTATCTTGCTATATTCCCCATTGTAAAAGCCAAATGGAAACTCATTATTATTATAAAGAGTCACACACAACATCTCTGTAGCACACTGATGTCATCTTTGTTGATACTACTACTGTCCTGTAGTAGATTAGCTATCTTACACATGCCACACTCAGTTTACTAACCTCCAATACTTGTAAACTAAAGACCTCTTCAACAGTCACACTTTATTAATGAGTGTGTGTGTGTGTGGCTTTATGTAATACATATTTTAAGCATTAAATTAAAATTATGCTTGTTTTTATTTAATAC